ACGCTGTAGGCGGGGGCGCATCCGAGAAGTCGAAGCACGCGCCGAACTTGTCGAAATATCGGTCGGAGAGAGAGAGAGAGAGAGAGAGAGAGAGAGAGAGAGAAAGAGAGAGAGACAGAGAGAAATCATATAAACAAGCAAACATGTATCCAATTGCCGCAGCGAGGCATCGCCTGGAATATCGGGGCCCAGTGGTTCTTGAGCTCCATCGCCATGCTGTCGTGTGAATCCACTGCTGCGCCGTCGTCCCCAGGCAGTCTGATCCCCTGCGGCCTGAGAGAGCGCCCAAAAGGTGCCCGTAGTGCAGACCTGCGACGAAGGGCGCGGCGTTGCGCGTTGATCACCGCCAACGACGAAGGAGGGGTGCCAACGGGTTGTGCAGCGCGGGCGGCCAAGGCAGCCTCCCGCTCGTCGGAGAAGGGCTGCTGCGCCAGCGTGCAAGCGCGAGCGGAGGCCGCCGTGTCGGGTGAATTGACCTTCTCACGTTGGATGCAGATATGTGCACGCGGCAAGTCGGAAGACTCCGAGAGCTCCTGCGCGAGACGGACACCGCCCCTCCACGTTGCACGAGCAGTAGACCTGTAGTCCATGGGCTTCGCCACCGAGGATAATGGGTTCTTGGCCGCCCGATCTCGCACCAGTCGTGCAGCTTCCTTCATGGTGACCTTGACGATTCTCCGCTGCGAGAAGGCCGCCGGGTGCTTCCAACCAACCGTGGCCGATAGAGTCTGGACATGGCCGATCAAGTCTGGACGTGTCGAGCATAGTCAGGATCTCTGAAGACCAGGGGGGTGATCTCCTGACCGTCGACGGGCGCCGCGGGCCGCGGGGCAAGGGTGAGAGCCGCAGGGGCATGGTAGCTAATGCCGCGCTCTTGAAGTGTTTCAGGAAGATCTGGCGTCATCGCCGTCGTCCACTGCGGGGCCTCCCAATTCGGTGTAGAGAGGAAGATGCGATCGATCTGCGCAAATCTCGGCCGCTCCTCGCTCGCGACGTGGGGGGTCGGCTGCTCGTTGTCAACCTCCATGAAGAAGCCGAAGATCCGCCTCCACTCGGACTCGTTCGCCCGCGGGGCGACGTCGGAGGCCGGCCCGCGCCCGTCGATCTCGGGCGCCCAAGGGTGCGTCGGCGCCGCCGCGGGGGTGCTATATTGAAGTCGCCCAGCAGGACATGGAGGCGACAGCTCGGGGGACCATCACGGGCAGCTCCTTGGCCAGGGCGCGAGACATGTCGAAGGTGTTGTGCGCGTTATAGAAGACTGTGGTTCGCGCGCTACTGGGGACATCAACAATGCCCGAAATTCTGAGCCGCTGAACAGTAATTGCAATCCCACCAGCGTCTCTGCGATCGCAGAACGAGGAGAAAGAAAGGTAAGGAATCTGTACCTTGTTGCACCCCTGTTCGAGCTCCAAACGCGACGCATGAATCTCTCGTTGTGTCGCCGCCGTGCCGCGACGCAAATGTTGAGCGACATGCCGCATCTTGTGCTGTCGCGTCGGGATGTCGCGGTGGGGCGAAGCCCGCGAATTCCAAGTCGCCGCCGATAAGGGTCGTGAGCGTTTCGACTGTGCCCATCCAGGGGGCGAGGCGGTCGTTTAATGTGCCGTGGGGTCTTTCCAGACTCCCCAAACAAGTTGTTGAACGCGGAAAGCGCAGCGTCCTTGTCCAACCCAGCATCGATAATAAGCCTGCGATTCCACTCCAAAGGCGTTGGTTCCGCAGGGACGTCGGGGATGAGTGCCCGCGCCGCTGGGGTGGGGGCGCGATGTGCGACGCCGTGCGCGCGGTGGGCCCTCCGCCGCCCAGGGGCGCGGGTGCTTCGGACCAGCTCGAACAACTTTTTCGTTTGGATTTCCCGTCGCGCCTGTTGGGCATGTTTGTCGAAGCCGATGTGGGCGTCCGTGGGATTGTTGTCGCCGCCGAGAGCGGCGAACTCCCTCCAGCCTCCATCCTGCATCTTGGACTCCTTGTGAGCGTGGGTGACCTGCTTCGCCGCCGAGCCAGGAGCGCCTTTGAACGCAGTCGCGACGCAGCGGGCGGGGGGGCGCCGACGACGCGCCGCTCATCGCCCTGGAAGCCTGCCTCCTCGAGCCAAGGGCGGACCGCAACCTCGGTGCTGCCCGCAGACGCAGCCGCCTTCGTCGTAGCCACGAAAACAGCGCGGTTAGGCTCGCGGGTGAACCCAACAATGTCGCCATATTCAACCACAGGAGCGGCGTGCTCGCATTGGTGAAGGGCCGTCTGGAGCCGTGCCAGCTTCTCCGCCATGCGCTTGTGGCCTCGTTCCATAGCAACCTGTCGAATGTTGAACTCTCGAAGCCGAAGGTCGGTAGCTTCATGCTTGGCCTCTTGCTGGGCAGCGAGCTTCCAAATCGCCTTCCGGGCGTTGCCGGTAAGCTTCGTCGCGAGGGACTTGGTCGAGGCAGCGACAGACTCCAGGATGTCGGAATTGCGATCGGCGAGTGGATTGTCGAGCTCAAACTTGCAGACAGGGTCTTTGCCTCTGGCGGGCGGAGTCGGAAATCCACCCGCCCCAGGCGGGGTAGCCGAGTCCCAAGGATCGTTGACTGTAAGAGGATCGAGCAAGCCGACATCACCCAGCCCATCCCCCTGAGACTCCGCATGGGCCACGCGGTTCTCCTCCTCCTCGAGCTTCTATCTTTTGCCCTCGGGGGTTTCACCAGGAAACTTAGCAGGACCAGCATGGGCACCCCGACGACGAGATATGTCACGACGCTGCTACACACTAGAAGGCCCAGAAGAAGAAGCCATCCCTGCAGGCACGAAACGAGCAGGAAACGTGTCGTGGCTGGCAAGGGTGCGTGGGATGGAACTTCATTCCGGTACGCGAATATGGTATGACAAATACAGCTGCGCCCGTGGGAGAGCAGGTACAAGTGGCGTGGGCCGCGACTCCCACAAACAAATCTGAACGAACCACTCCAGACTTGAGCCAACATGGCTACGGGCATGCATATATGTATATAGTATGTATATGTATATGTAGATGTATATATGTATACACACGTTTATGTGCGTATTTGCATACATCTATCTGCCACCGTGCCCTTGGGCACGGACTGGGCGTGTCCTAAGGTCCTACCCCCTAATCCTCTAAGCCTCAGTCGACACTATCTCTTAGGGGCCCGGGCCCCAAATTGCCAAATCTTCTTGGGCTTGGCGCGTGGCCCCCTAATTAGGGTTCCCAGCAGGGCCCAAGAGGGCCCCAAGAGGGGCCAAAAGAGCCCCAAGATATTCCCAAGTCTTCCCAAGACGCCTTTGAGGCGCCCTTAGAGGCCCCCAAGAGCCTTCTCAAGGTTGATTTTCCAAAAAGGTTTTTCAATATTTGTGGGGTCCTCGACTTTTCGAGCTTCCGACGCTCCAAGACGGCCCAAGTGGCCCCCAAGACCACCCCAAGAGGCCCCCAGGACGGCCCGAGAGGGCTCCACGACGGCCCAGAGGTGCCAAAGACAGCGCCCAAGAGGGCCCAAAAACAGTCCCCAAAAGGGCCCCAGAGGGGGAGCACAAACAGAACACATGTTAGTCTATCGCCTGAGAAAGGCCTGAGGAGGCCCCAAGAAGCCCCCAAGAAGCTCCAAGAGACCCCCAAGAGGAAGACGTGCCAAGAGGCCGCCAAACAGCCCCCGAGAGGCTTCAAAGCGGCCCCCCAGACGCCCCCGAGAGGTGTTCTGCGACATCCCAACGAACATCCTAGAGGCCTCTGGCCCACAACCCAGGCACGGTGACGGAATGGGCTGAAGGCCATTAATCCGCCGCCCCCTGTGGTCTTGCTGCAGGGGTACCCGGCGTGCTAGATCTTACTGGTTTAGATATGTTTTTAAACGCAATCCCCTGAGGCTCCAGCCTAGCGCGCTGGTCCTGCAGAAGAAGTGATTGCCAACATTTTCCCTGTCCAGATGGCTCCAAGATGGCGCAAGACGGCCTCCAAGACGGCCTACCACTTCGCCCTAGATGGTCCAAGATGGCCTCGAAGACGGCCCCAGAGAGTCCAAGATGCCTCCTAGTCCACCCGAGAAGCCTCCAAGACGGCCCAAGACGGTCTCAAGCAAGATGACGGCAGACGGCCCAAGAGGCCCCCAAGAGGCCGCCAAAACGGCCAAAGAGGCCTCCACGTGGGCCTTCAGGAAGGCCCGCAGAGGCCAACATATTTGATGTGCCTGGGAGTTTTGTAAGAGTTTGGCATTTGCTTCTTTTCGGGGATAGACAGACCCCCCTTTAGTAAAACGTGGTTTAGTGAAAACGACCCGAGGCCCAAAATCTGGCGGGCGCAAACCTGGAAAATAACGGCCGCGGCGCCCTCTCGAGAACCGACAACGGACAATTCACTAATCGACGTGTCTCTGTTGGGGGTTCTGTCCACCCCCGACTGGGAGTTTTGTAAGAGTTTGGCATTTGCTAGGGCTCCCAACTTCGCGCTTCGCGCTCCGCGAAGCGCGAAGCGCGAATAACTTCGCGCTCTCGCGCCGCCCTCCCAAAGGGAGAAAAGGAGGACGAGGAGGAGGTGGAGAAGGAACGAGGACCGCGAAGCGCGAAGCACGAATAACTTCGCGCCCTCGTGGGAGCCCTTGCATTTGCTTCTTTTCGGCCTGTCGACGGCCCGAGACGGCCCAAAAACCCATCAAGATCGCCCCATCAGAATGGCCCCCGAACGGCCCAAGAGGCTCCCAGAGGAGGAGTAGGAGGAGGAGGAGGAGGAGGAGGAGGAGGAGGAGGAGGAGGAGGAGGGGGGGAGGAGGAGGAGGAGGAGGAGGAGGAGGAGGAGGAGGAGGAGGAGGAGGAGGGCCACAAGACGGCCAAAGGGGCCTCCAAGACGCCCAAGATGGCCTCCAAGACGGCCCTGTGCCACCAGGGTGCCGCTTCGGTGAGAGCACGGCGCGGCCTTCGTGGGTTCCGTTCGTCGGTCGTGTGCTTGACAGAAGGCAGATCTCGAGCACGAATGAGGATGATTATGAGAAGGTGGAGGTAGGGAGGAGAACATCCTCTTCATGCCGAACGTGCCCTTGGCATACGGCCAGGCGACGACCTCGTTGAAATGCCAAACGTCCTCGACTCCGGCCGACTCCGAGACCACGAAGTCGGTCCACTCTCCCAAGGTAAGATCCTTGACCCCCCGTCCTCCCGCCCTCCCCTCTGCCTCCCGTTCCCTTCCCTGCCCCCCTCTCCCCTCTCCCCTCTCCCCTCTCCCTCCCGCCGTCCCTGCCCCGCCCCCCTCCAAACTCCATCATCTGGGCGCCCAAGTCCCGTCGGCAGCGTGCCGACCGTGCCACCGGCGCTGCAGGCAGGGGCGCAGGCGCGAAGAGGGCCGTCCGCGGAGAGCGCCGCGGTGGCCGCGCGAGGGAGGGCGGCTCTGCTCGGCGACGCGCTCCTGGCGCGGGGGGCCCCTGCGGAAGGCGAGGGGGGGGGCCGATGCCGAGGGGGGCCGGGGCAGGAGCTGCTGGGCGCGGGGTCGCCAGCGATCTCGGCGAAGGGGCTCCGCGGGCCGCCGAGGCCCGCCCCTCGGGGGCCGAGCCCCGCGCGGGGTGCGAGGTCTGTCCTGTCGCCTCCCCGCGCGGGCCCCCTCTGGTGCACGGGCATGCGCAGCCCCCGCTGGGCTCGGGGGGCAGAGGGCGGCGGCGGGTCATGCCCCGCCGTCCGACGTTGCGCAAGACCCTCGCGCAGGTGGAGCAGGTGGCTCTGACCGAGTGGCCTCCGCGCGGCCGCCAGCAGCGGCCGCCCCTCTCTCGGTGCCAAGCGCTGTTCGGGAGGAGCGGCGTCGCGCAGTAGGCTTCATGACTCTTGACGGTGGCGATGTTCCTGGCGCTCGCGCGACGGCAACGGAGGGTGCCACACGGCAACAAGGGGAGATGAACGACGCGAGGAGCATCTCCGTACGCTGAGGCCTCGATTGGGCGTAATTGTGGTCTGTATGCCAGCAAGGTGCCGCGCCAGCCCGATGGCTGGCTCGATATATGCTCGGTGGGAGCAGCGCGCAATACAACTTTATCTTGATTGTCCCGATGGCTGGCTCGATATATGCTCGGTGGGAGCAGCGCACAAACCAACTTTATCTTGATTGTACTGTCAGTCACCGGCGGAAGCGCCACGGCCCGACGCAACTACGCTTGTTGGACCAGGTGTCTCCACCTGGAGCACGATGCGCATATGGATCTGCCCAGTGCTTGCACTCTGGACGGTGCGATCGACGCTGGGAGGATTGGGAGACTCTTTTGGAGCGGCCAGAGGATGCGAGCGTACAGTGCATTGAGAACTTTGCGGTGCAAGCGCTGCGCTCTGTAGCTCGGGCAAATTCCCATACTTTGTAAGCACCTTTGTAGTTCCGTGGATTGCTCGTCACTCAGCCCGCCCTGGGCGTCCTGCATCAGATCCTGAAGGGGAATCGTTTATCGCAGGACGAGCTTGTCGTCGAGGGCCCGGCGATCGCTCATCCACAGGAGATCGTCGACGACAGAGATCGTGAGTGGCACGGCCTATGGGGGGCAAGGCGCGACATCAACGTCGACGGAACCCTGGCCCTTGCCTTCTTCGAGGACCTCTGGGAGGCAACCGAGGCAGCGGCTCTACCGCCGATGGCTCTGCAGGACACGGACGCGCCGTAAAGAGTGAGGGGGCGAATGCTGGACGGAGGGTCGATACAGGATTCGGCCTGACCTAAGGAACGATACATCAGGAACGAAGCCACTTTTCTCCAAGGAACACCAGGGAGGCTCGCCGCCAAAAAGGTAGCGGAACGCATGCGAACCGAAGGAACGACCGAGCCCCTTTTGAAAAGTAAGTGTTCCTTATTCAAGCCGCTCACTGTATCGGCCGTCGCTTGTCGACATCGAGCGCTCGCTGGAAGCAGGGCGCCAAGAGCTCACCGACCTGTGCAATCCTGGCAGAGCTGTGCTGACCGGGCCATGGCAGCCCGTGCTCGTCCCGGAGCGCACGCGGGCCAGGAGGAGCGGGGGAGGGACAGGACGAGTGAGCTTGAAGGGGCCTTGGGACACACAAATACATAGACACAACGAACCCCCATATGTTCAATATTTCTATTGGGTTTTTGGCTTCCCCCCACTTCCCATATTTTCCCCATATTATCTTGGGAATCGAGGGTGAGTTGTGTATGTGTGTCTCTTTTTCCCCTCCTGAGAGTTGCTTCTCACGCTTGCGCGAGCACATCCTGCCACAAGAAAGTTCGGGGCAGCTGGATACATCCTCCTCCTCCTCCTCCTCCTCCTCCTCCTCCTCCTCTTCCTCCTCCTCCTCCATCTCCTCCTCCCCCTCCCCCTCCTCCTCCTCCTCCTCCTCCTCCTCCTCCTCCTCCTCCTCCTCCTCCTCGATCGCTGGACTTCCTCAAAGCGTCGCAGGGCGTGGGTGGGTCCCCCGGGGCCATCGTGGGATCGTGCATATTCGTGGGGCACCTGCTGGCGAGCTGCTTTCCTGCCTCCTCCTCCTCCTCCTCCTCCTGGTCCTTGGCGCGGCACCGCACTTTTTCGCGAAATCCTCAGCCCAAGGGTCCAGCATTCGTCTTCAAAATCTGGGTTGGTTTCGCGGGTGGTTTCAGTGTGTGTGGCTTTCGCCGCAGCGCCGCGCACAGCCGTCTCAAAAGTTAGCAACCGCTTCACGGATGGAGTAGGACACTTTTTCATGATAGTGCGCTCGCCATAAAGCCGCGCAACCTGTGATGAAACTTTGCACTCACTTCACGGATAGAGGGCGATTCGGTTTACAGATTGGGCTCTCGCCTCAGCGCCGCACGCAATCGTTTTGTAATTCAGCGTTGGCACGGTGGAGGGGCTGCTCTCTTTCAGCGCGGGTTTTTCGATGAGGCTTCGTTCCGTCGGAGGACCCGGAACTGCAACGCACGCAGCCTGCACGGATCCACGGCTGCCCGTTCCGTGGAGCCGTCGCTGGAGACTTCCTCGAGGGTCATGGCCACACGGGTGCACCTGCGCAACAGTCGCACGGATGGGGGAGGGGGTCCTTCGTCGAGAGGGGGACATCGCTGGACACCTCGTCGAACCGTATGAGCACTGCTTTCGCGTCTCTGGCTATGCGCTAAAGCGGTGCGAGGCAATTCCCTTTCAGAGTGGTGCCCTCGCCAGAATGGGAGGCCCAGCTGTGCTGGTCCTTCAAGGGGGGCACTTCTTGCAGTGGAAAGGAGGACTTGTAGGGCGTATGAGAAGGGGGCTCGCGACGGGAGGGTACATTACATCATTGCTTATGCATGGTTGGTATTCTCTGGTCCTCCTCCTCCTCCTCCCCTCGCTCTCCCATCATCATCCCCGCGCTACCCCCCTTACGCTCAAGTCCTTGATGCCCGTAACACCCGGAGTCAACAAATCCAGTCTGATGATGTCGGCGTCGCCCCTCAGAGGCACAAACGTCATGCTGCAGGTCTGCTTGTCGAAGGGGTAAAGCTGGAATGTCATAGTCGAGCACATGAGCGTCGTGTGAAGAAGACGGTGCGCCCTCACAAGGCCATTTTTACCAGACTGTATAGCCTGCATTCCGCTCGCGCTATCGTCAACTACTGCATCCCGCAAGTAAACCATCGGAGTCCATATTCTTTCCGAGCTCCACTCGAGGTGGTCGAAGCCACTGACATCGAAACCACTGAAGTCCAGCCGTGGATCGTACCACTGCAGCTCTAAGGTCGCCGCAATTTTGTACGTCTTTGTCCTACTGTCTATGCCAAACAATTTGACGATGCGGATGCCCACGGAGACTGTCGTGACGTTGCCAGTGGAGTAGCCGGGATGGTTTGGCGGCGAACAGGAGGGGGCAGGGTTCGGGCTCCAACCTTTCAAGAGTCTTCCAAATTTCACATTTCACTATAGGAGGAGGGTGGTCTCAACCGTCCCAGACGAGCCATTTCAGGCTCCGCCCCTCGGGAACCTCCCTGGATCTGCGCCTAAAGACCACCGAACAAATCAGACACCACCCCCTTTATGATGAAATCAGAAGTGCCCCTCCCGCCTCTAGAGAAGTGTGTGCAAAGCCACTGTGCTTGTGTGTGTGTGTGCGTGTGTGTGTGTGTGTGTGTGCGTGTGCAGCTGCGTCGCTTGCCGCCCGCTTTCCCTCTCGCCAGCGATGGCGGGTACACGGGTGCCACGCCATTTCTGCACCGGTTCGCGTGGAATCCTACGCCTGTTTGTTTTTGCCACGCCGTGCTCGCCACGCTCGCGCTGGTTGCCCTTACAGCCGGGCATCTGTCCGATATGTCCACTCCTCTGCAGCTGCTGTGCTGTTCTGCTCCGTTCGCTTGTCTCGCACCATTAACTCGGCTGCGGTCGACGCGGATCGAGCTAGTGTGACCCCGCTCACACCTGCAACTGCAAGGCCTTTGGCATCTTCCACGTGAATCCGATTCTGCGGTTCTTACTGCATGCGTCAGCCGAGTCCTGGCCACCCACCTGCAAGACCAGATGGCAAGTGGACTGAGCGCGCCCCACCTTAGTGCACGCTGCAGTGACACCCACCCGGCCGCTGGAGAAGTGTGTGTGTGTGTCCGTGTGTGTGTGTGTGTGTGTGTGTCAGCTACACGCAAGAGTGACCCTGGGTAAGAGTGACCTTTGGTGCGCGGCTTTTTGGGGGCCGCGGGGAGACCAAACCTGGGCGCGCAAGACGCTGCTACCGCTTCGTTTTCAGCCATCTGAGGACCCCTCTGTGCCCGCACCAAAGGTCACTCCGGCGAAAAGTCACTCTTACGTCTAATTGTGTGTGTGTGTGTGTTGCGTGCGCCCCCGGCCCCTGCTGCCACCCGGCCCGCCGCCGCCACGCCGCGTGCGGCCCGGGCGTCCTCGCTCTCGCCGCCACGCTGATCGAATGATCGACTCGCGCATAGCACTGTGTCGACCTCGGACCGCCCGCGGGGCTCGTCGGCCAGGCCCAGGTGTGCTCGCAAACTGCGTGCCTTTTTTTTTTTTTTCTTTTTGTGTGTGTGTAGCTTTGCGTGCGTACATGTGCGTGCAAGGGCAGCTCTGCTTCCGATGTGTCAGGGCCGCCGAGAAGCGGGGGCGCCCTCTGCGCAGGCGCTGGACCGCCCTCACGCACCAGCGCTGCCCGGACCCGAGCCGCCGGGTCGGCGCCGCTCCCCCCTGCGACGGGGCCGGCCTCCTCGCCCTCCTGGAGGCGCTCCTGTCAGAGGGCGCTCCACTGCACCCTCCAGCCCACGCCCTCGAGGTCCACTCCGCCAGAATGGATCCCCCCTCGGAATTCCTAGGAATCCTTAGGAATTCTTCGGGATCCTTCGAATTCCTAGGAATCCTTCGAATTCCTCGGAATCCTTCGAATTCCTAGGAATCCTTCGAACTCCTCGGAATCCTTTGAATTCCTATAGGAATCCTTCGAACTCCTCGGAATCCTTCAAATTCCCGAGGAGGGCCCCCGGGCCTGACCGCGCCACGCGGCCTCGGCCTCCGCCCGGGGCTCGGTGCGGAGGCAGCGCCGCCGGGGCCCCCGGGAGGCGCTTTGGCTCCGGCGGGAGCCGGCGCCGCGCGCCGAGCCGCGCCCGCGCGCCAGCAGCCCTGGCGCCCCCAGGAGCCCACCTCGCGCACCCAGCGCCCACGCTCGCAGGCCCCCGCCTCGAGCAGTGCTGTCTTGCCCCCATCTGGCCCTGTCGATTACAGTCGGGGCGTTGACCTAAGGAACCCTAAATAAGGAACGAGGCCCCTTTTTCCCATAAGTTCAACCTCGATTTCCGATGGAAAACCTCAGGAAAACCCGAGGCAAACTTTGAAACAATCAAGGAACACCGAGCCCCTCCCCAACGAAAAGGGTTCCTTCCTCAAGACCCCTACTGTATGCCTCGCCACCACTCACATCCCCGACCTGTCCCACGACGGCAAGGGCCGTGCTGCCGAGCATCACGTCGAGCTGGGGCATCTGCAGACAGCCACGTGGCGGGACTTTGTCGACGAGGGGAAGGTCGACACAGGCCGACCCCGCAGAGTGTCCCATTGAGCTTCTCGCCCAATTCCTGGAACGCGCGTACGGCTGCGAAACCATGAGTTCGACTTCTCCTGGCAAGACGGTTCCACCGTCTGGCTGCCCCAGCAGTTACGACCTAGCCACCGCCTTCCCGCGGCAGTGCGCCTCCAACGTGTCCAGAGTGCCGCTGGGCAACCGTAACCTTCCTGCCAAGCTCCCTCGCCCCCCACCTCGACCCCAGGCCCAACCACCCTGAGTTTGTGGGCGCTGTCATGGACGACTGGGACGCGCACCGTTTAGACACTGGCAGACTCTCGCGCTCCCTCAACAGCGCGATCCCGCCAAAGAGCTCCTCAAATAGCAGCATCAGGGCATTATGGAAGGCCACCTGAACGCCATGTGGGGTCCCGTCCCGCCACGCCCAGCTCGGCACCTGCATCCCCTGCCCTGGCCGTATTAGATGCCGAGGGTGGCTCCTTCGCCCCTGTGTGTGTGTGTGTGTGCGTGCGTGTGCGTGAGCGTGAGCGTGAGCGTGAGCGTGAGCGTGAGCGTGTGCGTGCGTGCATGCGTGTGTGTGTGCGAGAGAGAGGGAGTGTGTGTGTGTGTGTGTGTTTGTGTGTGTGTGTGGCGGCTCAATTCGCGTTTTGTGTGTTCCACGAATGCTTCATCGCCAGAGCAATCCCTCTGCCAAGCCGCCGACGGAACAAGTATGTGTGTGTGTGTGTGAGCGAGTGTGGTGCTCTGGACTGACCAGCCTCCTGCACCCAAGGCCCCACCATCTCCACCCGTGTCCTGCCGCTATCCGACTCCCATCGGTGTGACTCCAGCTCGGGGCGGGACGCCAGCCCCGGCCAGGGCGGCGGCCGCCGGCACTTCCTCGGAGGAGGTTTGTACCATCCACCGGCGTATCTGGCCCAAGGCCGGCTGTGAGTCTGCCCCCGCCCGGCCACCGCCGTCTCCCCCGCCTGCCGCCCCGCTCTGGCCGCAGGCTCTGAGGCATTCACGGTCCAAGGGGCGACCGCTGCCGGGAGCCAGAGGCAAAGCGGCCCAAACCCAGGCTGCCGCCCCCGCCTCCACTGGGCGGCCCCAAGCCCACTGGATCGCGGCTCGCGAGCCGCTGGGTCTAGCTGGAAGCCTTTGCTGCCCAAGTTCTCCGCCACCCACGATCTGGCCACTCAAGCTTGGGGTCGCCCTCGTGAGGCTGCTGTCTCCCTACCTGGCGCGACGCCTGGCAACCCACATCCCTCGCCATCGCCCGCTCCCGTACGCCGTGGATCTCCTGGCGCGGGAAACGCCATCGGTGCCAGGCATCCCCCAGCCTCAAAAGGTCCGGGCGCAGGTCGACGAGCCCGCCGATGGGCCCGGGGGGGCTCCTCCGCCTAAGCGGCGGGCACTTGCGGGACCCTCAGCCGCTCAGGCTGCATCCGCCTCGGCCATGTTCTGCCGGAAGTGCCTCGTCAACCGCGTTCTGGCCTTGCTTGCCGAGGGTGCCTCCTTCCACTCCCGAGGCGACTCTACTCTGGCGTGACTGGGCCCTCCTTCACCGTCCGGACATGGGCGAGGACGACAAATCCGAGCTGGACCCTGAGCGCTGTTCTGCCGACCAGCTCATCAACTCCCTCATCACCGCCCCCGCTCGGTTAACGCAGGCGGCTGGGCGGGGGGCGCCAGCCGAGGAGACCAGCGCTCAGAAGCGTGGTCCTTCTAGGAACTTGTCTCGGCCACACCGCCCTGGCCCTCGTCCTGAGCGCTGACATGCGCAACCCCGTCGCACTGCCTGCTGCTCCGTCCTGCTCTCTCGCCTCGGCCTGCATCACCAGCCTCTCGGCTCCACACTTCTCGTCCCACGCGGGCGACCGCGCGACCTGTGTCGCTCTGGACTCGCTGGCGTTGCATCCGCCTCCCACCTTCGCCTGCTTTGCTTGGCCTTCCGGTAGCGTCTGTGCCCTCCTTGCGCTAGGTAGCGTGCGTGCGTGCGTGCGTGCGTGCGTGTTGATATGTGTGTGTGTGGTCTCTGAGAGCTCGGCCGGGCGTAGATGCGCGCATTCCGCCGCTCGGACTCGTCTTTCTACGCCCCGTTGCCGCGCGCGGGGGCCGGCAAAAAGTGTGTGTGTGTGTGTGTGTGTTCGTGTGTGTTTGTGTGTGTGTGTGTGTTTGTGTGTAAGTGTGTGTGTGTGTGTGTGTGTGTGTGTGTTCGGGTGTTTGTGTGTGTGTGTTCCCTACCCAGGCTGTGCCTAGAAGGGTTCTTACTCGGTGTGCTTAAAGGGCTGGGCAGTGGTCCCCGCCCCGGGCGGTTCCCCCAGTATCCGCCCCGCGGTTCCCCCAGTTACGTCCCCTTAGCTTAGCGTTGCTTATCTCATCTTAGCTTAGCAACTTAACTTAGCTTAGCTTAGCTTAGCTTAGCCCAGCCTAGCTTAGCTCAGCTTAGCGCAGCATTAGCATAGCATTAGTATGCCATAGCATAGCATAACATAGCATATCATATCATAACACAGCATATCATGTCATAGCGCACCATATCGTATCATACTATATCATAGCGCAGCATAGCATACCATATCATACCATAGCATAGCTTAGCATAGTACAGCGCAGCATAGCATAGCATAACGCAGCATATCAT